ACAGATTCCATATTATTGTTTTATATTTGCAATGATTCTATGCCACACCCACCACCTGCATGTCAGAAACCTTTCACCACTGTCCCAGGGTCCTTCTTTGTGCCCTCTACCTCACCTTGCAGCCTAAGTTCAAAGTTCTGTTAGCAGTATCTCGGGGCTTGTTTCCATATGGATTGTCTATTTCTTCACGTTGTTTCTTTATACTCCACATATGAGTGAGATCATGCAGTATTTGTCTTGTTCTTTCTGACTCACTTCACTGTTAACTTCCAGTTAAAGCTAACTTAGAGTGAACTGCAAGATTGCATCGCTTTTTTTGTAGTCAAGTAATATTTCTTTGTGTATATATTATGCAATTTCATTGTAGACTCATCTGCTGGCTCTTGGGTTTCCCGTTGTTTGTTACTTTCTGAGGCACTCTTCTTCACTTTTATTGGGAAAAATAGTAGCATTTCAGATCCACAATTGGGTGAGGTGTTTTATTACTATGGAGTTAGTCATTGTCAATTTTCTCCTGGTTCCTTTATTCTTTTTATCTTTAGCATATACACAACTCACTAGGAATGTATAATCATTTAAATATTTAATATTTATTAAATAAATAACATTTATTTAAATAGGTAAAGGTAAAGGCCCTCCCGTTGATCGTTGATTTGCTCAAGCGGGCCCAGTAACGTCTCCATTGGAGACTTTGTTAAATAATATTTAAAATCTGAGAATGATTTCTCTTTTGGGGATGCCATTAAAAATTAGATGTACATTTCTGTTCATTACCTTATATTTTCGAATTATAGATTTACTTAAGTAAAAATTCTATTTAAATTTTATGATTTTATCTTTTCTTATAACCATATGGTATTGTATTCCATTGTGTGTATGTACCACAGTTTCTTTATCTCACCATCTGATCTTGGATGCTTGGATTGTTTTCAGATTTTGGCCATTGTGAATAGTGCTGCAGTGAACATAAGAGTGCAGATGCGGGGGTGGGACACATATGGTGGTGCTGAGGGCTTTCTCCTGCCTCCGTGCTCAGGGATCACTTCTGGCAGTGCTTGGGGACCATTTAGAATGCTGGGGATCAAATCTCTGTCAGCTGTGTGCAGCGCAAGCACCTCACCAGCTATTGTCTCTGCCCCTAAGTTTTGTCACTTGTGTGTAAACATTTTCTGCTTTGATTCCTATTAACAGAAGATCAGTCTTACTGAAATAAAATACCTTTTGTTATTAGTAATTTTGGGTCAGATTATTCTGGATTAAATAAGCAGTTTTCCCCTTACATAATTTTAAGTTTTTAAAGAAGTACTCAGCAAAATGTTTTGAATTCTAGTGCCTAATACTCAACGCTATTCCATTGGTTTGGTTCTCTTCTTTAGAATTTCTGTTAAACTGTGTTATATATTATTTGCCTGTAATGTCTGTCACTTTGTAGTAAATCTTCATTATCTTAGTTTTCCTTTTTTGGGGGAGGAGTTGGTTTTGGGGTCATACTTAAAAATCCCTCCTCTATTCTAAAAATGTGTCCTTTAATATATTTTTTTTCTTTTTGGGTCACACCTGGTGATGCACAAAGGTGACTCCTGGATCTTCACTCAGGAATTACTCCTGGCGGTACTCAGGGGACCATATGGGATGCTGGGAATCAAACTTGGGTCGGCCCGTGCAAGGCAAACACCCTACCTGCTGTACTATCACTCCAGCTCCTATTTAGTATTTCTTTATTGTTAAATTAGTTACCAGTTATAACTGATTGAACAGGAACATGCTATTGGACTCTTTCTATCCTTTTGTACCATTTTGAAAGTTAGAAAGTTGGACTTGGGATTGTATGTCATTTCACAGAGGAATTCCACTACTCTTCTCTATTATTAATAGGTTCTAGTATTTAAATGTGAATACATGCATAATTAATTTAAAACAGAAAGCTGTTTTTTGAAGGGGGTGTATTTTTGGTCTCATGCTGCTATGCTTAGGGTTTACTCCTGGCTCTGTGCTCAAGGATCAGTCCTGGTGGGACTGTTGGTCCCAGGGATCGAATCCCGGTTGACTGCTTGCACAGCAAGCACCTTACCCTTTGTATTATCTCTCTGACCCCTAGAATGCTATTCTTATTTTGGGGGGTGGGTAAGGGGAGGAATCTAAATTGGGTAAAAGCTATTATGAAACATAGATTCCACTCGCTGATAGCCCTATCACCCTGTCATAACTTTCCAGCTTGGAGATAATCCTTTTTACCTGCCCAACTCTTTCTTTTTCTTTTTTAATCTAATCTTTGTGAATTACAGAGTTACAAAGTTATTTATGATTTTTAGGCGTACAATGTTTCAACACCAATTCCTTCACCAATGTCCACTTACCTTCACAAATACTGTTTCCCTCCTACCTCTCAGCCTACCTCTATGGAACCCTTTTTATTTTTGTTTTTGTTTTCCTTTTTGGGCACTGTTTTACAGTACTGTTACTGATAAGGTATCATGCATATGTCTTTATTTCAGCACCCACTCCTCATCCAGAGTGACCACTTCCCTCTCTATCATTGTCCCAGTGATTCCTTCCCTGACTTTACCACTACCCCCCACCTTAGTGGCAGTTTCGTACTAAGGAACAGTTCTCCTGCTTTTCATTTCTATTGCCTTTGGGCATTAGTTATTCCCCTACTATGTTAATTTATGTCCCTCATATGAGTGTGATCATTTTGTGTCTGTTCATGTCCCTCTGACTCATTTTAATCAGCATGATAACTCTCCAGATCTATCTATATAGCAGCAAATTGCATGACTTCAATTTTTCTTATGGCCGAGTAATAGAATGCTATTCTTGAACTTCTTGGCAGCATGACTTGTTTTCAGATAAATATAAATAAGTATGAATTCATATTAAAGAAGCTATTTTCCCCGAACTTTATATGTGTATTTTATTACTCCTTAGGCGATATTGTTGCTCTGTTGTTTTTTTTTTTTTTTGGTCTGTTTTTGGGCCATCCCAGACTGTTCAGGGCTTTCTCCTGGCTTTGTACCCATGGATCACTCCTTGCAGTGTTCACGGGGACCGTAGGGATGCTAGGGATTGAACCAGGGTAACTGCATACAAGGCTAATGCCTTACCTCTGGCCCCTGAGAGACATTTTCTTTCAGGAATAAATCCTAAACACCATGTAAGATTTTCTCAGATTTTAGGGCAATCTGTGGTTATTTCTATTATTCATTAGAAGCCTGGGACATAGGGTGTATTTTTGTTTGTTTGTTTTTGGGCCACAACAAACAAAGTGGTGCCCAAGGCTTGTACCTGGCTCTGCTCTCAGGAATTACTCTTTATGGTGCTTTGGGGACCATAAGAGGTGTTGAAGATCGAACCCAAGCTGGTAGTGTGCAAGGTAAACTCCTTACCCTCCATGCTATCCTTCTGGCCCTGAAACATATAGATTTTCTTGATTTTTTTTTAATTCTTAAATTCATTGGGGCTGGAGAGATAGTACAGTAGTAAGGCACTTGTCTTACACATGACCAACCTGAGTTAAATCCCCTGTACCCCATATTGTCCTCTGAGCCCTGCCTGGAGTGATCTCTGAGCAGAGTCAGGAATAAGTTCTAAGCACAACTGGATGTGTCAAAAACCAGTAAAATAAAATGCTTGAGTTCATTGTATTAGAAGTGCTTAAAAAAAAAGCACAGGAATAACGGAATAGAAAATCAGAACTCTAGGAGCTGGAGCGATAGCACAGCAGGGAGGATGTTTGCCTTGCACGCGGCCGACTGGAGTTCTATTCCCAGCGTCCCATACGGTCTCCCAAGTACTGCCAGGAGTAATTCCTGAGTGCAGAGCCAGGAGTAACCCCTGAGCATCTCTGGGTGTGACCCAGAAAGAAAAAAAATCAGAACTTTATTGGTATGAAAACAACTTAGGTTGGGATTTTCACCAGCTGTCTGGAGAACAAACTTCAAAGGGAGGGGAGTAGTGGTCTGGTTTTATGCCTAGCTAAGATAGAGCTTATATATATTCCACTAGTTTTTCAGGAAACTCCTGAATATTTATGAAGGGCACAATTAAGCTTACACAGTTGAGGGACACATAATGAACATGCATCAAATATGCAGAGTATTGTGTAGAAAAGCAATGGTGGGAGGGATGTGGGGTTTTGGGGTGTGACTTTCAGTATGGCAATGAAGAGAAAGGTGAATGGAGGTCAAGTATGGCTCATAGGCAGTCTCCCACTGGTTGGTACTGTCTGACTAAAAGCCAATTTACAAAAGTGTTCTTCAGGTTCTGTCTTGGCCCAATCAACCAAGAGAATGTAAAAAGGCTTTTCCCTCGAGGAGGCTGTCACATCCCCGAAGCTACAAACTCTGGAGAATCTGTTTTAATATTTTCCTATTCTGTAGAGTTCTTCTAACTTTTTATCTTTCTTTTGGTCAGTGGGCAGTGAAAAGAAAAGAAGCCAGGTTGCAGAAAGTGTTGAAAATGTATTGTATGCATTTTTTTCCTCCCAGACATTCTCTAAAATTTTTTTATCTTTAAGGAAATATAACTCAATTTCTATGAGTCATCATTCTCTTTTATATAGTGCTGGGTAAAGGAATTAATTTTGTAGACATTTAATGACTTCCAGAAAGATAGATGCAAAAAATTGAAAATTTGAATTTTAGATTTACCATAAATGCTATTAAATATTGAAAATTGGGGATCGGAGCAATAGCACAGTGGGTAGGGCATTTGTCTTACATACGGCTGACCCGGGTTTGATCCCCGGCACCCCTATATGGTCCCCCAAGCACTGCCAGGAGTAATTCCTGAGTGCAGAGCCAGGAGTAACCCCTGAGCATCGCCAGGTGTGACCCACAAAGTAAACAAAACAAAACAAAACAAATATTGAAAATTGGAGCTTGGGATACAAATATAGTAACTGATAAAATTTTTCTAATGTGTTAGTATTTTCAAAGAGAAATTATTCTTTTTAGTCATTTTCAAGTGTGAATTCTTAACACTTTTTTTTCTTCCTTCAGCTTCCAATAAAAACAGGACAGCAAAACACACATACCAAAGTCAGTACTGAACACAACAAGGAATGTCTTATCAATATTTCCAAATATAAGTTTTCTTTGGTTATAAGCGGCCTCACCAATATCTTAAAGAATGTTAACAATATGGTGAGTATTTGGATTACTGTTCTCTGGGGGAATTTTCTTTATTTCATATTTTTAAGCAACATATTTTAATGTGTTAAAAGTCATTTTCTGTGAACTTTGGATATAAAATTTATAATTATTTTGTGAATGTGTACAATTAACCTTTCAACTTTCATTTACTTCTTGATTCTTTGCCATAGATTTGTAAATCCCTTGTAACTCTGTCTCCTTTTCTGTTACTTTTTAGGAATAAGCATTTTATATTGATTTTTCCATATATGAATTGGCAAAATATGAATAATATAATAATAACCTGTTAAAATTTTTTTCTTACGTTCTCATTTATTTAGAGTGACTCAGTCCTAAAGTAGTTGATAAATGAGTCCTGTATTCCCCGAATGTGTGATTGGTTTTATGAAGATACTGTTTCCTTCCATTTCTTTTAAAACCTCTGACAGATTTTGTAGTAGAGCATACACTGTTGAAGAGTTTTCCTCAAATACCAGTTTCATTAATCAATTTGATGGTCAAAAGCTTATAATTGTTTCTCTATTTCTTATTATATAAAATCATTTATATTTCCTAGACTTCAAGATACTCTAATTGTACTCTCTTTGTACCTCAGGACATACTTAATTTAAAACAACCTATATGAATTTTTTTTTTGATTAATTCCAAACTGCTCTGCTTGTCTTCAGTGTTTGTAACTTCAGTTTGTATTGTTTGTATTGATCTGTGAAACTCACTTTGACTGTACATTGTGAATATTGTGAAGAACAGTATAATATTTTTAGTCACACTAGTATGGTTCTTTCCTTTTTAATTAGAAAACACCCTAAACTCAGAAAATTGATAAGGGGGAAGTGCCTTACAAAGGAATTTTTTCTTAGGAAAAACCCAGCTTTCCAAAGTTGTGGTATTTGTTTGTTTGTTTGATTTTTAAAGAATACAACTTTTTTGGGCCAGAGAGATGGGTCGTGCTTAAAATGTTGGAGGTCCAGATTCAGTCCCTGGCAGTGCATGGTGCCTTGTGCACTGACTGAGTAGCACCACTGAGTCTGGCTTCCAAAAAAAAAAAAAAGTTTAGGAGGATTGGGAATGTGGCTCAATATTAGAACACTGGTCTGTGCATGTGAGGCCCTGGGTTTGACTCACAACTCTGAGTGGTCCCCTGTACATCTGTGTATAGCTCAAAAGGCAGAAACATTTTCTAAAAGTTTAAAAAGAGGTTTTTTAATAGTCACATAAAATGATTTACAAAAGGGCATTTTAGATTTTGTGGCATTTTTACATATGCATTTGTGTTTGGGCCACACCTAGCTGTTCTCAGGGGCTGTTCCTGGTGTGGTTATTCATGGTTCCTCCCTCAATGTGCTCTGAGGGTTGTTTGGTGCCAGGATTGAATCTGGATCTCCTCCTTGCAATATGTGCTTTCATAGCCGTTTGCGGGATCTCCCAAGGTAGACTGAAAATATTTTGATATTTACAACTCCCCCCTCCTCCCAAGCAAAACCACAAAATCTTGTGATAGATATTTAGTACTTACTCAGTAACTTGAGTCGTGGAAACTTGGCCTTTATATTGGTAAATTTTAGTTCCTCTATATTTTACGTATTTAAAATATAAGCCAGAGTGTCTACTTTCGGAGTTAATGACACAGTCTAATAAGTGCCAGCATTTTTGTTTCCTTGAGTATATTTTTGTATTAGTATTAAACCAGGAACAATAGATTTTAAATATTAATTTAAAGATCTGTGAAATAAAACAAGACTATTTTCAAAATCATAAAACTAATCAAGTTCCCTACTTTTCATATGTATGCTGATTTGTAGTAGAATAAAAACTAATTTTTAGTCTTCTAAATATTTTTCTTTTAGAGAATATTTGGAGAAGCTGCTGAAAAGAATTTGTATCTCTCTCAGTTGATTATTTTGGATACACTGGAAAAATGTCTTGCTGGAGTAAGTAAATCTATTTTTAAGTGAACGTATTTTGTGAATTCAATTTTGAGAATGATCTGATGTAGCAAAATATAGATGCAGTTGGGGAAAATTTTGTCTTAAAATATATGAATATAAATTTTATTAGTAGAGTTAATCTGAGGGTTAGATGAGGTTGGTTTGACTCATATCTCTCTCATTCTTTTTTCTTGGAAAGATAAGAAAAGGACATATTTTGATATAATTAGTGTCTCCTAATATTGGAAGGCCTATGTCACTGGTTTTGAATCTCTTATGAAGGACCAAAACTAAATCTTTTTATTTCTCATACAAATCTGATCTTAATATTTTACTTTTAAAATCCTTGTAAAAGTGAACTTTAGAACATTAAACTTGGGGGCTGGAGTAAGATCCACTGTACTTAAAAGCAGCCGACCCAGGCTCGATCCCCAGCATTCCATATGGTCTCCTAGCACTGCCAAGAGTAATTCCTGAGTAAGGAGTAACCCCTGAACACCATTGGGTATGGCTCAAACAAAAAACACATTAAAACTGACTCTGGAGGGAGCTGGAGCAATAGTACAGTGGGTAGAGCATTTGCCTTGCATGTAGCTGACCCAGGTTCAATCCCATTTGGTCCCTTGAGCATCACCAGAAGCAGTTCTTGAGTGCAGAGCCAGAGTAACCCCTGACCATTGCCAGGTGTGACCCAAAAAACAAAAACAATTAAAAAAAAAAGTAAAAAAAAAATCTGACTCTGGAGAGACAGACCAAGTGGTAAGGCACTTGCCTTATATGCTGCCAATCCAGGTTTGATCTCTGTCCTACATATGATTCCCCTGAGCAACTGTAGGAGTTTTCCTGAGCGTAGAGCCAGGACTAATCCCTGAGCATCATCGGGTTTGGTCTATCCTCTCCACTCCCTTTAACTCTCAAAACAAAAAAACCTATTACTTAGTGATAGAACTGCTTTAAGAACTAGAATCAGGCTGGAGTGATAATACAGGGATTAAGGTACTTGCCTAGCATGATGCCAGCCTCAGTTTGATCCTCTCCACCTCTTATGGTCCCTTGGGCACAGCCAAGAGAGCCCTCTGAGCATAGAGCCAGAAGTTTGCCTCGTACATAAGCAGTTGGGGACCCCCAAAATGCAAAACAAGCCACCGAAAAGAAAACCCTACCCCCAAAACATCCACTGTTGGGGCCTGGAGATAATGTAGCAGTTAGAACATACGCCTGGCATGTGTCTGACCTGGTTTTGATTCCTAGGTATCACACAGTACCTGGGATGTTGCCAGGTGCAGCCTTGGATATCCCCAGTTCTGCTGGGGTGGCACAGGTATCCCTGGCCTCTCAAGTAGCATCACATCTTCAGGTCATTTGCTGAGCCAGTGGTCCCTGTTGTTATTTGTAAATAAGATAGAAAATAGATTTTTGAAGTAGTTGAAACAGTTCTTTGTCAGTTCCTCTAATTAGTTATAACAGTGTATTTCAACCATGAATGAGTTAGAAAAATTTCAGGAATATTTCTTTTGTAGAGAAATAATGGACAGTGGTGGAGAGTGCTGGACACTTTGATGGTGATGGAATTGTAGTAACTGTACATCAATATCATAGATTATCAATGTTAACATAACTGTAATGATGGTACCTATGCTATAATTTAAAAAAGGAAAAACTTTATATTATGTAAAACAAAATGTTTTTGTGCTTCTGCAGTCTCGTTTCTTCCTGGAATATGGTAGGAGTTTATATAAATATGCAGACTTAATGCCTCAATGCCTCTATTTTAAAGAACTGTCTATTCAGTATATATTAGAGGTAACCTCTTTTATTCTCTTGTTTTCTGGCATATGTTTATTCAAAATTGTTTCTCTCCTATGTTTTCCTTTTATGTTTTATTTGATCTGAGTAGTAAACTTTCACAGAAGGGACATTGATATATGAGGGTTTAATTGTGTGGTTAAAAAGAGAGAGAACGGCCAGAAATATTTGAGGAAGGGATAGGCTAGAAATTTGGAAAAAATAATAATAGCATTTGTATAGTAAGTATCCTTAGAAAAGAGTGTAGTCTACAAACGTTTTGTTTTTTTTTTTAACTTGAGAAATGCATTTTTTATTTTGTTTTTGTTTGATTATATTTTGTTCTTGGATCATACCGACTGGTGCTTAGGGGCTACTACTGTTTTAATTTTTTGGGTTCCTCCTGGTGGTACTTTGGGGATTGTGTGGTGCTGGTGATCAAACCATGGCCTCCTGCTTACAAAACGTTGCACTCCAACCCTTTGAGCTATCTCTCCAGCCACAGGCCACAAAACTTAAGCATATTGTTTCAATTTATTGACCTTTTGTTATATTCCATTTTTTTTTATAAGCTTCTCCTTAGAGAGTGAGAGTTTTGATTTAGCTTGGCCTTTCTATAATTTGTAATTTGATTAATAAATTGCTAATTCTGTTCATTGTAGAATAGAATAAAAGCTCGAGTAAAGTAAAGTAAAGGCCCTCCCGTTGATCATCGATTTGCTCGAGCGGGCCCAGTAACGTCTCCATTGGAGACTTTGTTGTTACTGTGTTTGGCATATCGAATACGTCACGGGGAGCTTGCCAGGCTCTGCCGTGCGGGCAAGATATTCTCGGTAGCTTGCCGGGCTCTCCGAGAGGGGCGGAGGAATCGAACTCGGGTCGGCCATGTTGGCTGCATGCAAGGCAAACGCCCTACTGCTGTGCTATCGCTGGAGAATAAAAGCAAAAGTAAAAAATAATTGTGAAAAATTTAAAACTTTATCTGAATTCTTAAAACTTTTAAACTTCAAAAACTTGAAAAAATGAAAAACTTTCTTTATTCTTATTCTTTATTACAATTATTTATTACAAACTTAATTACAATTTTTATTTTATTTTACAATTATTTTGCAATTATTTACAATTACTTTTACAATTATATTTTAGTTATTTACAATTATTTTACAATTCTTTATTTTATTTTATTCTTTATTATATTTATTTATTTTTTGCTTTTTGGGTCACACCTAGCAAGGCACAGGGGGGATTACTCCTGGCTCTGCACTCAGGAATCACCCCTGACAGTGCTCAGGGGACCATATGGGATGCTGGGAATCGAACCTGGGTTGGCCGCGTGCAAGGCAAACGCCCTACCCACTGTGCTATTGCTCCAGCCCCTACAGTTCTTTATTCTTTATTACAATTTCTTTATTTACAATTCTTTATTACAATTAAAGTAATTACTTTTAATCGTAAATACCAATATATATTTGTTTTCTTGGCCTTTTTGAGTTTTATAGATTTTATCCATTAACATTTGTAATTATGAGGTCATAGAAAATGTGTTTGGGAGACTGAACACAGATATTACTGACCACTATTTAATTTGACAATTATTAGAGATAGCCCATAGTACATGGGAATTGTATAATACATAAAATAGACTTTGTTCTGCTCTATAGTTGATAACATATACTTTTCCCATAAAATGTACAATTAAAATAAAGTTATTGGATAATTGTTGCATTATATTGTTTTTGGGTCACACCCAGCAGTTCTCAGGGGTTACTCCTAGCTCTGTACTTAGGAATTACTCTTGCTGGTGTTTGGGAAACCATCTAGGATGCCAGGGATAGAACCGAGGTTGGCTGCATGCAAGGCAAACACCCTACCTGCTGTACTATCGCTCCAGCCCTTTTCCATTTTTTGGTTTTGACTTTAATGATTTTATGGTTCTCTCTCTCTCTCTCTCTCTCTCTCTCTCTCTCTCTCACTCTGTGTGTGTAAAACTAGGGATAGAAATCGTATGTTTCTCTCTTGAGTTTCATTTTTATATCAAAGTAAGTTGATGCAGTGTAAGAAGTGAGCCTAAATATATTTATCATAGAAGTAGCTGAAGTAGCTAAAGAAAAGTGGACACATATTAGTGTGAAATATTGATGTAGGATTGCATTATATCTACAGGGTTGCTTATCTATGGGTTGTTAATTGTAGTTATTTACTTTATGAAATAGCCATCTCAGTGTTAATACCAAGATTATCAAGCTTGCTGTCATTTATATGGGAATCATTTCCTAATACTGATGTGATATAATATGATTTATACTGAACTACCTAAAATGTTCCACCTAAACCTAATAGAACTGTTACATTTAAATTTTACGCTACAGAAAATACTGTAATCTTTAAGAACAAGCTATATTATGCCACTGAGAAGTAATCAGATCAACAGTGGAACATTTTGTAAGGCATCTGTCCCATTTTCTTAAAAAAGTCAATGTTATGAAAGTTTAAAATCATGTATATGGAGTGTGTGGGTGAGAATGTTTTAGAATAAAGAGACTAAAGGCAGATAGTAATCATGCTGCATCTATGAACCTTTTATGAATTCTGTTGAATTAAAAATTATGAAAGACTTTGGGGACAGTTGGGGAAGTTTGAATATAGAATGAGATATCCAGGGATGTAGCTGAGTTGTAGAATGCTTGCATTGCATGTATGAGACCCTGGGTTGGATGCTGGGAACTGCAGCAAGAAACCCAAACCAAAACAAAAGAAAACCCAAAATGAATATAATGACGCTGTTTATGTTTTCTCAATGTGATAGATATATTTTTATTTATTTGTTTTTCGGCCACCTCTGGCAATGCGGAGGGGGTTACTCCTGGCTCTGCACTTAGGAATCATTCCTAGTAGTGCTCTAGGGATCATAAGAGATGCCTGAGATCAAACCTGGTTTGGCCACATGCAAGGCAAGCATCTTACCTGCTGTAGTATTTCTCTGGCCTCAGTGTTACTATTTTTACTGATGCTGAAATATAGGGGTAGGCTGTTTTATTTTTAAAATCAGTTTGAAATTATTTATGCAAACACAATTAATAGTAATGATCTGTTTGTTTTGATCAAATTTCTCCAAAGGTAGGTGTGTTCCCTCAACCAAAACTTTATTTGGATCTTTAGGCAGATGACACAGTGCACTCATCAGTGAATATGAGTGGTCGTCCAATTCCAGGGAACTTCTTGTGATGGGATTTATTCAGGAGTGGTTGGGGGTAAAGAAGCAGGATTGAGGAGGCAAGGGAGGATAGACAGGAGAGGTTGAACTTCCTTTGTGAAAGAAGGGACCTTTTCTAGTAGATTACAGAGAAATACAGCAGACACAGAAGTTGTGAAATCCAGATGATGAATATATGGTTGCCTGTTATAGTTCTTAAATATGTTTTAAAATTTCCATAATAAAAATGTTTGCTTGCAAATTTAAGAATGTTTGAGAATTACATGATTATTTCTATTTTAGCAACCTAAGGATACAATGAGATTAGATGAAACGATGCTGGTTAAACAGTTGCTGCCAGAAATCTGCCATTTTCTTCACACCTGTCGTGAAGGAAACCAACATGCAGCTGAACTTCGAAATTCTGCCTCTGGAGTTTTATTTTCTCTCAGCTGCAACAACTTCAATGCAGTCTTTAGTCGCATTTCTACCAGGTTAGTGTGTAGACCACATAGGACTGTTGTAAGTAATAAAAAATTTAATCTTTTTTCTAAGTAAAAATAAACAGAAATAATCTTTTACTTGGGCTTTGCTGGAAATTTTGTGATTTGAGAGGGAAATTTGTATTTAATAGTATGACTGGTGTGCTAATTAAATATGAATACTGCTGGAAGCTTGAAAGCCTAAATTTTAAGGAAAAAATATCACTCATGTTCATATTTTATTTTTTTAAGTACTAGGTTTGAATTTTTGGTTTGACAACCCACCTGCCCCCCTTCCCCCACCTGTATAAAAAGGCTTACTAGAGAGAGACTAGACAGAGAATCAGAGTGCAGGCATAATCTAGAATAAGCGGCATTTTTTCTGTAGAAGGTAGTTAACTAAAAAGCAGAAGTGTATAGACAGAGTCAGAATGTGGGCATACTCTAGTGAGGGTAGCCTTTTTGGCTTGACTTTTTCATGTAATTTTTTCTTTAATTGAAATTAGCCTGGCAGAATAATTGATGAATGCTCGGAGTTGTATTGATCTCATGGTCTGTTCTTTATCACAAAATCCTGTTATCAGAAAAGTAAAAATAACCCAGCTGCCCATGAGATAGATCAAAGTGATGACTCAGGGACCAAGTTTGATCCTGCCACCACGTGTCCTCCTAGTAGCATCTCAGTGCATATTGCTGGTGGCCCATGAGGGCTGCCAGTTGTGGTCCTGCTGGCTCCCAGACACTGCCATGGTAGCCATGGGGGGCCTCTAGCATCGCTGGCTCAGGTAGTTCTACATCTTTATTGCTGTGCTCATGTACTACCCATTGAACCAAGCACCATCTGTTGAATCACTGGTCTTAAGCACCACTTGATTCCTTTCCTCTCTCCCTTGCCCCCAATTCCAAACTACCCAGAAATACTGGAACTTACATGGGAAAAAATGGGGGAGTAATTCAGTGGGAATCTCCAGAAAATAGTCTGTTTTATTTTTTAATTTTTATTATTATTTTTTTTTATGTAGGAGTACTGCTGTTTATCCAGACATTGATTAAGCTGATTGAATTGGGCAGGAACTTCATATTACTTTAAAAAAATTTTTTTTTAAATTGAATCATCGTGAGAAATAGTTACAAAGCTTTCATGTTTGAGATTCAGCTGTACAATGATTGAACACCCATCCCTCCACCCGTGCACACTTTCCACCACCAGTGTCTCTAATATATAACCCCCCATATCCCAGTCTTCACCCTGTCTCCATGGCAGGCAATTTCCCTAATACTCTCTCTCTACTCTTTGGGCTTTATGTTTGCTCGAATTTTCCAACCACCATTCAAACCTGCCTGCCAGGGGCAAATACAAGATCATTTATTGTCCACTGCTCATTTTGAATATCTTAGGTACCGCGACCGCACGCTTCTGGAATCCTAGATTGTGAATGGTTGCGTTCCAGAGACATTTCTGTAGGGCACTAATCCATTTTGGGATTCATTTGGGTGTCTGTGGATCAGGGTTGTTGGTGCGCTAAGATAGCGCCCAGAGGCACATTGTGGGTGTGACAGCCAGGCCAACGAGTGTGCGGGGAGTCTGGGCGGGACAGCCCCGTGCCTCTGCCACCATGAAGCATGGATATTTAGTCCTGGAACCCACATACCTAGGCCTTGCTTATGGAAGCTCTTGGTCGCTGGGATTCCATCTGAAATATTCTATCTGGAGTAGGTGGGGAGACTGCACCTTCTCCATCTAGGGTGTCCCAGTGAAATTGGCTCGGTATGGGACCTGGAGAGATCTCTGATTCTGTGGTGTCTTCTGGGACTCATTGTTATGTCTCTGGACCAGGGCTCTTGGTGTGCTCAGGTGGCACCTGGAGGCACATAGTGGGCTGACAGCCAGGCCAACAAGTAGGAGGGGAGCAGGGGTGCCCCGTACCTCTGCTGCCATGTGGTATGGATATTTAATCCTGGAACCTACATACCTGGGCCTTGCTTGTGGAAGCCTTTGGTCACTAGGATTCCTTCTGGAGTAGGCAGGGAGACTACGTACCTGCTCTATCTGAGGTATGCCTATAAAATTGGCTCGGTATGGGGCCTGGAGAGATCTCTGGCTCTGTGGGACTTGCTGCAGTGTCTCTGGCTTTTGGTCTCTTTTGAGATTTATTTATGGGTCTTCGAAGCAAGGCCAGTAATAGTTTACAGGGTGGTGCTGGAGTTGGTTCATGGAGTGACCACCAGTGCTTTCATGTGCACTGGGAAGTGTGGGGAGGGAGCCCATCCCAACTACGTGAACTCCTGGAGATTTCAGTTACAAAACCCGCATACCCTAATTTTTAGCCGATTATTTCGTGGTGAGGCCCGTCTTGAGATGGTGGAGTCAGGCCAGGGGTATGGTGGTGACTTTGGATTGTGGAAGCAAGCGACTGCTGGGGGCTCTGCTTGGGCAGACACAGGTCAACCTGCAGTTTACCCTAGTTTGTTCATCCATGCACGGGTTCGAGATTAACTGTGGCTTTTGGTCTCTTTCGAGATTTATCTCTGGATCTCTGAAATAAGGCAATAAATGAGCTTGTATAGCTGAGCCGGATGTGGTTTGTGGGCATGGTTCCCACATACCTAACTTTTGGTCATTTAATTTCTTGGTAAACTTTGTCCCAAGTTGTTGGGGTCTGGCCAAAGGCACAGTGGCAATTTTGGGTGTCAGGAAGCCTGTAGGCACCATCAAGCTGTTGATGCACTCGTCCCACAGGTACAGGTTGACCTGTTGGTGGCATCATACCCCCCCCCCCCCCCGTAGTCTTTGTTTTAAGTATATTAACTTTGAAAGATATGTTTGTCAGATGATTATTTTTTTTTCTTTTTGGGCCACACCTGGTGATGCACAGGGGTTACTCCTGGATCTGCACTCAGGAATTACCCCTGGCGGTCCTCAGCGGGGGGACCATAGAGGACGCTGGGAATTGAACTCAGGTCAGCCACGTGTAAAGTAAACGCCTTACCCGCTATGCTATTGCTCCAGCCCCGATGCCTTTTTTATTTATTTATTTTTAAACTTTTTTATTTAACACTGCACTGTAGCACTATCCTCTTGTTGTTCATCAATTTGCTCTTTGCTCGAGCAGGACTAGTAACGTCTCCGTTGTGAGACTTGTTATTGTTTTTGGCATATCGAATACGCCATGGGAAGCTTGTTAGGCTCTGCTGAGTGGGCGAGATACTCTGGGTAGCTTGCTGGACTCTCCAAGAGGGACAGAGGAATCGAACCCGGGTCAGATGCATGCAAAGGCAACCGCCCTACCTGCTCCAGCCCTGATGCTTTTTTTTAAATTAAAAATTAATTTTTAATTTTACAGGAGTTTGAGGGCTGTACCTGTGAGGGCTGCTTCTAGCTTTATGCTTGGGGGTTGCTCCCAGTGGTTCTCAGAAGACCATGTGGTGCCAGGGACTGAACTAGGGTCAGCACAGGGTTAAGGTGCTTGCTGAACCATCTCTGGCCTTTGGATTGGGATTATTAGAGGAGCAAAAACCTCCCCAGTGATGCTGTAGGATACCAGGGTTAACCTAGAGGTATTTGGAAAGTAGGGCCCTATGTATGCCAGACATATATTTCCACCCTATTTGATCATTTCCCTGGTCCCTACAATAGGTTTCTAACTGACTTTCGCAAATAGCTCTGAAACTTGGTTTTGTGCAATTGACTTGACTGCTAGTTAAGTTAAATGTGTCCTTAATTATGACTGTATTTCTTAGTCATTTAGTAAATCATAGACTAATTCAGAATTGAAAAACCAGTTGTACACACAATTGTATTATGTCAGCAGTGGACTTCCACTAGTCATTTTTTTTTTTTGTTCTTGTTTTGCTTTTCAACAGGTGTGAATGAGAACATGCTCTGTGATTAGATAATTTGTGCTATGGTCTTTTGGGGGAATTGGATAGCTTCAAAGTCTTTCAGTCTTTTATTTACTTTTAATGGTTAATTTTGGTTTATGCACTCAGTATTTTGATATTGACATATGTTTCATGTTTTGATTATTCTTAAATGTGCATCTGTAGTCTTTTTAATAAAATTGTTTCATATTAGGTTATAACCTCTTGTTCAGAAGTGATGTGAAGAAAATTAAAATTTTTATTTAATGTTTTAATATGAATGCTATGTTGTATAATGTTTATACAGAAAATACCAAAATTTCTTCATGAAATCTTTAAAGTTTAGAACATTTTCTATCTTAAGTAATAGTAAACTGAGGCATCAAAAACATTGGAGGCTTGAAAATCAGAAAAACAAAGACAAAATCCATTTGTTAGATAAATACTAAATTAGCCTTACTATTTGAAATAATTTAACAAAGGGAGAAAATGATCAAAAGAATGCTATTTTAGTTTATCCAAGTTTGAATTACTTTATAAAACCCAGCAGATATGATACATTTGGAAACTATAGAAATTTTTAAATCACTAAAGATTTTCTGGCATGAGATTTTGCTGTGTTAGCATGTGTAAAAAGATAACTTTTATATTTTACTTAAATCTAGTTCATTTTTCCAGAATAGAAATAAATTATCTCCATAATAAGACATTCTTTGTGGGGGGAGTGGGTTTCTTTTAATTTTGAGGCCCCAGTAGGTGCTGCTCGGAGGGCCGAACAAGATGCCAGGGATTGAACCCAGGTTGATTGCATGCAAGGCAAATGCCCTACCTGCTGTGCTGTTATTCAAACCCTACGTTGCAGTTTCTTTAGCTTATAGGGTACCATATAGATCACTCAGAAATGGGAGCTGTCAAGTACATATTTCAGACAAGTGCATTTGCTATTTTGTCTAGCTTGTGTCAGAAATAGGAACTAAACTTGTTAGGTGATCTCTTACCTAAAAACCAAGGTTTAATATAGATGGAGATATCTTCTCCCCCACCCTTTTCCTTTCTTATTATTTTGCTAACTGGGAATGTCAGACTTAATTTGGTTGTGGTTCTCAGACACTTTATTATGCTTATTGGGGGACCCAAATCTTGTTGCCCAC